AGAATAATGAAATGACCGTTTCAGTTATTGTTGGGACTGAACCAAAGCACAAACAAATATTTCTTTTTAAATGTATCATATGTGTTATATCTATGCAGTATGCGCACTGTGATGAAATAAGCCAGCTTCAGTTCCATAACTTACTTGGTCCTCACATATTTAAATGATAACTCCAGGACCAATGCACACACACAAGGTAAAATAACTTTAAATTTTAAAAATGATAATGTGTTTGACTGTTCTTTTAATGTTATATTTGTGAAGTCAAGAAGAGAATAAAAGGTGCCAGTTGAGTAACCAACAAAGGAAGTACAGAAAGTTCAAGGAATGTAAGAACTATTTTATCTAATGGTTTGAGTGATGCACATATTTTAGGAGCCAGTCTCTTATAAAGTCATTCTTAGTTCAAGGCATGTATTTGGTGTATGAAAGTTTCACATAAAGCACTGTCAAAAATTAATCACTTGAGGGAAAACTTGGATTTTAAAAAGAGAGATACAGAACACTTGCGGATACAGAACAGTGCTAAAGTTTAGTTTACTTTATGAGTAGTTGATGGGAAGCGTTAGAGCCACAGACTCCCTTTCCGTCATCATTCATGACAAGGGAAAGGATTAAACCAATATTTAGGTTCACGTTAGCAGATTTTTTGGTTTGTAAATAGGATTTGTTGCTAACGGAAACCCTAGTTAGTTGATAAATACATGGAGTGGTTTGCCTTTTTTTAAAAAAGTTATTTTAAACAATAGTTCCTGGTTTGCATGTAAAATCAGAAACCTTATAAAGCAAAACTGAATTTTCGTTGATTCTTCTTTCTGGCCACAAATGATGAGAATTGGGGTTTTTTTTAGTGCAAACATTCACTGATTTTGTTCTGAAACATCCTTGACATTAGTAATAGGGATGTGAAATTTTGATTATCTCTTATATTTTGGAGTTTTTGAATAAAAATCTTATTTGTGAGGAAAACGCTGTTTTGAACAAAAATGGTGTTGAAAATAATGTTCTCTGTGAAAAATGCTGGGTTTTCTTTGGAGAAAAAAAAACAATGTTTTTGCATAATTTTCTTCTCTAATTTCATTGCCATTTGGCCATTTTTTTTCAATGGAATGTTTTAATGTCTTCAACCAATTCTTATCATGGATAAGAATATTTGTGAGCATTCTTCTACATTTTTACAAAACGTGTATGACTTCCTTTGCTCATATATATATATAATGATAAATTATGGTTTAGCATTTAAATGAAAACACTGTAAAAGTGTTGTCATTTAGCTTTCTATCATATGATATGTTATGCAGGTAAAGGCAAAGTTAAAGCTTTCCCCTGACATTAAGTCTAGTTGTGTTCGACTCTGGATGGTGGTGCTCATCCATTTCTAAGCTGAAGAGACAGCGTTGTCTGCAGACACCTAAAAGGTCATGTGGCCAGCATGACTGCATGGAGCACCGTTACCTTCCCACAGAAGCGGCATCTATTGATCTACTCACATTTGCATGTCTTTTAACTGCTAGGTTGGCAGAAGCTGGGCCTAACAGTGGGAGCTCATCCCACTCCCCAAATTCAAACCACCGACCCTTCGGTCAGCAAGTTCAGCAGCCCAGTGGCTGAATGTGCTGTGCCATCAGGGGGGCTATGTTATGCAGTGAACCCCTTTTAAGCTGTATTTTTCAATTTTAATCAAATTCTTTAACTGCATAGTTTAAAACACAACATAATTTTAAATTCTTCAAACAACTTTGTCCAACAGTAAGTATTCATTCACATCCTATCTCTCTCATATTGCTGACCAAAAGGTGACCTATAGGTTGAAAAGCACCACGAGAAATAGTTATCCACATTAAAACAAGAGGCAACACATACTTGAGTCACATTGAGAATAAAAGAAGTACCATGAGGCCAATGTCTTGTGTCTAAAATGCATTCACTTGAAAAAATGCTTCAAAATGTCTCATGTTTCAAGTCTCGAGACAAATTCAGATGACTCAAGAATTTGTCTACAATGAAACCCGGCATGTTTCAAATGAATTATAGTGTCAGTTCAAATTATACATTAATCAATCAATCTGGATTGAGTCCCAGAAAAGTGAACCTTCCAATTCTTGGGTCTATAACTACATTTATCAAGTTTCTTTCCTTGCCACCTTCTAATATTAGTAACTTGTTTGTATTGTTGAAGGCTTTCACAGCCAGAATCGCTGGGGTGCTGTATGGTTTTCAGGCTGTATGACTGTGTTCTAGCAGCATTTTCTCCTGACTTTTAGCCTGCATCTGTGGCTGGCAATTTCAGAACCTCTGAAGATGCCAGCCACAGATACAGGTGAAACGTCAGGAGAAAATGCTGCTAGAACATAATCATACAGCCCGGAAACCACACAACACCCCAGTAATTTGGTTCCTTATTGTTTCTTCCCAACTTTCCTTTACATAGTACCTTAAGACAAAATTCCAGAAAATATCAACTTATTATTCGCAAGTATGTTCACATTGCCAACTGCTCCACAACTGACCAGGAAGAAAAAGCTTAGTGGTACATCCAAATGTGGTCCTTGTCTTGTTGCTATCAAGCAAGTCTGGAATGATAAAGCCAGTGCTAAACCTTGACTTAATGGGGGAGCAACAAATTTAAATTTAGATATATTTATAAAACTTTCTTTTAATTCTTGGTGAATTTCTGTTAACTGAAGTTTACTGGGACGAGAGAAGGAGCAACTGGTTTGTTTGTTTGCAAACAGTAAAATAGAGCACTTTTCAGAATTCTGGTGCATTTCTATGTGTGAACACAGCATTTAATTTCACCCTATCCATCCCTCTGCATTGAGTTGATAGCAGGCCCTCTTCATGTCATCAATTTCTCTCTAAATTTTCTCAGATTCCTATTAGCAATCCTATTACTTGCGTATTCATTCAGCAGATTTGGACTGCAACATGTCCTCTCTTGAACCTCAGTACAAGACAAGAAATCCACAATAATTTGTATCTCAGTCTGAAATACAGCAAGGTTTCCCAGGATCTACCTAAGTCAAAATGCAGCTCACAATGAGATGATGATATCATTCCACAAGAACTATGTTTAAGCCTCACAAGTAGCCACAAGTATTACGGTGTCTGACTTTCAGTCATAAAGGAAAAAATGTGATTTTTCTTTAAAAAGTGCATATGAAGAACAATTGTGACTCAGAAGACCAAGGTTAAGTTGTTGGCAAGGCCACTGTTTATGTCTATCCAGTTTCTGTTGAACTAAATATTCATATAATCCTTCTCACTCTCAAACACACACACATAATTAACCAATATTTAACAGTGTGTGTGTATAGAGAGCTATATCGAGAGAGGTTAAGAGGGGTTTAAAGTAATGCTAGGATCCCTGTGGCTAATGATGAATGCCTAATGCCATCATTCTTCACTACTGGCCAAGCTATGGAGGGCTGGTTGGAAAGGAGGAAAAGTGGTCCAACACTTTAAAGTAGCGTTTCTCAACCTGGTGGTCAGGACCTCTGAGGGGGTTGTGAGGGGGTGTCAGAGGGGTCACCAAAGGCCATCAGAAGACACAGTATTTTTTGTTGGTCATAGGGATTTTGTGTGGGAAGTTTGGCTCAATTCTATCATTGGTGGGGGTTCAAGGGGCTCTTTGATTGAAGGTGAACTATAAATCTCAGAAACTACAACTCCCAAAGGTCAAGGTCTATTTTCCCTAAACTCCACCAGTGGACATATTTGGGTATATTGAGTATTTGTGCCAGGTTTGGTCAAGATCCATCATTGTTTGAGTCCAGAGTGCTCTCTGGATGTAGGTGAACTCAAAAACTCAAGGTCAATGCCTACCAGACCCTCCAGGTATTTTCTGTTGGTCATGGGAGTTCCGTGTTTCAAGTTTGGTTCAATTCCATTGTTGGTGAAGTTCAGAATGCCTTTTGATTGTAGGTGAACTATAAATCCCAGGAATTACAACTCCCAAATGAAAAAATCAACCCTCCAACCCCACCAATATTCAAATTTGGGCATATCAGGTATTTGTACCAAATTTAGTCCAGTGGATGAAAATACACATTGCATATCAAATATTTACATTGCGATTCATAACAGTAGCAAAATTGCAGTTCTGAAGTAGCAACAAAAATAATTTTGTGGTTGGGGGGTCACCACAACATGAGGAACTGTATTAAGGAGTCGCAGTATTAGGAAAGTTGAGAACCATTGTTTTAAAGAGAGATGGGGTTTTTACTACCCCTGTTTTAAACATCAGGAATGCTTATACCACATAAGAAATTACTGCTAAACAAAAAACAAAGCAGGAACACAACTACTGGATCCCTTTTTACTGCAAAACGGAAACATTATACAGGTTGTTATCTCTGGCATTTGTGTTAGAATTTCTCAGAACTCATCCATGTACTAATAATTAACCAAACTAATAAAAACCTATTAGGATAAAAGAGCACAGAGACGCATAACCAAAGCTTTTAAAGTGAAACTGTGTACATTTCCTACGTAAGGAAAATAACAAGCAGAGAATTAAATTAATGAGAACTTAGTTTTACTTAGTACATGAAATCTGCCCAGATATATTTAGGTATAAAAAAAAACTTGGCCATATCATTTGGATTCCAATATAAATATGTTTTTAGAGACACATTACAGCTATTTTTTTCCTCCCAGAAGCTTCAAATGATGATGGCCTTCCCACTGCCACAACCTATTCACAAACCTCTCATAAAAGGTTACTGCTTGAAAGCCACCAATATCAGTTTCATGGCTAAGTACGAATTTAGACTTTGTTTTCCCTAGTTTTAGTCAATCATGTTCTTAGTTGTAATATCACACTGGCATATATGGGGTTGTTTTTGTATTTATGTACACCCTTGTAGATATTATGTGCAAAGAAACCCTCAGAGATATCCATGTTTTGTCAATTATCCAGAAGTTCTAACATTTCCTATGTACTTTAAATCAGCCAGAAATTCATTATGAGTATAAGCAGCAACAAAAGAACTACTCACAGCTTTGGTTTGGCAAGCACAGGTGGCGGCGTTTTTGTGGGTGAAAGCAAGTTGCCAGGATGAGGGAGAGATCTGTCGGTGTTGATGTTGCCATTCATCACCCCATTTACTCCATGGCTGGGATGAACACCATTCGTTTTCTTCTCTACAGAGTTGAGCTGTAATTGAAGAGCTGCTACATTTGATCGAGTATTATTCATCTCATGGTTCTCAGAGTGCTTTGGAGGAAGCTCAACAGAACTAATCTCAAGAGGTGGAGGTGGAGGTGGGAGGTGGTGGAAGTCATCATCATTCTGCTCTTGCATCAACAAGTCTTGGCTGTGGCTTTCAGAGTTGGCTGAAATAGTGAGGGAACCAGGGGAGAGATAACGTAATATTAGAAGGAGACTGGAGACTATAAAAAATATTCTAGTTATAATAGATAGTCTGATTTATCTCCACAAATGTAGTATTCGTTCATTGATGGTGAGGTCACCATTTTTACTTCTTCTGCATAACAGCCATGCCAAAAGGATTGCCTTTGTCAAGTTTTTACAGATATCTGAGCAGATGTAACCATCTCTGTGAATATTTATACTGTCTTATTGACCGCAATGTAGATTAAGCTACCTGTCAATTAAAAAGAGTAACCAAATTAAGAATAGAGAAGTATTGGCTGAACGAGTGAACCGCATGCATCAGAGTATTGTTAGCACTCATCATAGATATTTAACATCACTATGCGTGAGAACCACCAAATTATTCCAAGGCTTGTCTATTCATTTCTGGTTTACATTTCACATTGACAAGGAGGGTTTCATTTTTGCTTTTGAGTGTAACTTACTTTTTTCCATTTTGCCTCTGCTGCCACCTAGCCTTAGAATCCTGATGTTAAAAGCTGTCCAGTTTAGACACACAAAAAATGCAGGAAAGGGGAACACATTCATGAAATTGAAATGCATTTAAATTAAATGTATGTGCTAAGATGCCAAGTGTTAACAATACACACTTTCAATGGGCAATTGGTAGATTTAATCATCTAGTAGATAGATTTATTGGTTAGTTATCATCACCAAATATGTACTTTTAAAGCTAAAATGTACTGGGTGCAGTATATCATTGGAAATAAATATATTTGACCAGAACCCTTACTGTAGGCTTAATGATTTAATACAGTGGTTCCCAACCTTTGTTTTGACCAGGGACCACTTGACCAGGGACCACTCTCCAACATTAGTACCAAAAGGGTTGTGAATCGGTGTTTGGTCAACTTTAGATTTGGTTTGGTTATTTAGGGTATCGATTCAGAAAATTGCATTGGATAGACCACATCATCTCTAGTTTCTGATACAGAACACATGCCATCCAGCAGTCACCATACGGAAAACCATATTTAATAAGCCTTGGCACTATAAGGGGGTGTTGCAAGACCAGTCGTTCTTGTTGCAATGATGAGTAGCAGCAAGGCCGTGGACCATATTTTAATATTTGTGGATGACTGGTGGTCCACGAACCACAGTGTGGGAACCACTGATTTAACACAATGTGAGATGAGACAGCTTTGAAGGCAGATTCAGAGCTAGACTGAGAGCCCATTCTTAGTTACTAAGTTTTTTCTCCCCTGCATCTTGCAAGTGTTCAATATCAGGAGTCTGTCACCCAAAACTTGATGCATTTATAGGTTCTAACAATGTCAAGATTTCCTAAGTCAGCATTTTCTCATTCAATTTCATTTTCATAGTTCATCTGACTAAAACTGAGATCAATCTGAAGCCACAATTTCCCAGGAAGGTAACACTCTTTTGGCTGCAGATGCTTGCAAATCCTTGACTTTCACAAATCGCAGCTGCACTTCAGAAGGTTTAGAGATTGACATAGCTTTGAGGATTATGTAGCAGCCTCTTTGCCCTGTCAACATTTGACATTCTTCCTACAACAGATGCAGAATAATCAAAGGATGTGGGAAAGACTGTCAGAGACTAAACAGGAGATGCACCCAGAAGGGGAGACAAGCTGTCCCACTCTACTGCTGCAGCTGCAGCGGCAAAGAATGGCCAGAAAAGATCAACAAGTTCAACAAATGCAATAAACACCAAATCAGCACCATTCAATACCTGACAGCACAGTCAGTTTTGCACTGCTTGAGACCGATCCATAATCATTTCTTGCTGTGCATGTGAAGATTCCTGCATCTTCAGGGAAGGTCTCTGCTATCACAAGTGTACATATCTCTTCTATAAAAAAAAAGAATGGAATATATGTATGGAAAACATAACACTTTGCTTCAGATTCACAGAAACAAATGTGGAATTAGTTTAGCTGGAATGCTCTTTAGCTGTAGCTTCCTGTTTCCAGACAAGAAGAACAATAACAGAGAAGCACAATAGTCAGAAACAGTGCCAGAGAGTGGACCAGGTGGATAGTAGCTCTTCCAACTTGTGCTCATGAGCCCATCCTCTAAAAAGCTTTGTGTCTCCAGAGAGGCACACCTAGGCAGATACAGTTGGACCTCCATATCCATGGATACTATATCGACAGACTGAACCATCCATGGTTTGAAAATATCCCCAGCCCCCAAAAGATAAAGCTTTATTTTGCTATTTTACATAAGAGATACCATTTTACTATGCCACTGTATATAACTGGACTTGAGCATCCACAGATATTGTATCCATTAGGGTCCTGGAAGCAAACCCTAATGGATACCAAGGGCTCACTGTCGTTTTAAATTGAGGTGCAATAGACACTCAGTTGGCTATTTTCATTACCGGGCACAACAATTAAAATGGAAGACACAGGATGCTGGCTTTGCATATACAATCTGTTTCTTCACACAAGGCAAACTGTTGCAATGTTGTGTCAGGAGTACAATACGGTTCATGTGTAATCTATGACTTTGATCTGAACCTTAAGCATTAGAAAAGGATCTGTATAGAATTATATCTAGAGGGCAGACATATATGTGTACTGAACACATTCTCTTCCCCTCCTCCCCCAGCTCTGCTTTTATTACAGTGTACTAATATTTTCTGGCCACCATTTGCCATTTTCATATTCTGCTCAGTGGACATAGATTTCAAACAGTTTTCAGTTGAAGACTTTTGAATCTGTTTGATGACCCATAATTACAGCCTGCCAGAAGTTGCTGCCCTCTACTACTTCTTCATGCCACCTCCACCAGCAAGCATGGTGGCCACCCTGATGAAGATGTTGAGAGTATCCACATAAACATGAGTTGATGGGGGTCATACTTTTGCAATCTTACACCATACATTGGTGGAGTTTATGCACGTTACATAACTTTCTGAGTATCGTAGAGCAGGAACAAACTAAAAAGAATCAATCCACCATAAACATACACCAAATAAAGGCCCGCACCAACAGCAGATGTCAGAGGAAAGAACATGGATCTGACAGATTATGCATGCATGAAGCCAAAGCCAACCCCCAAAGTTTCTCCCATGTTCAGAAACTTCTCACATGCTGAACACATGGCCACAGTAGACAGGCTATCTATGATTCCTGCTATATACCAAGCAACTCAGATGAGCAGGGGACCCTCCATAAGAGTCATGGGAGCTGCCACAGTACCCATAACACCTGCATGCAGCATCCAAGCCAGATGTTTAGGGACAAGGTTTTGCTCATTATCTATTGATCTAACCAACATCCCATCTCCAATCATTGCTGCAAAGGTTGCGCCTATAGCCAACTAGGAACCTCATCACTGAACTCATGAGATCTACTGACTAGTACAGCAGACATGCCCGTCAAGCCAATGCTTCCTGCAAAATTCATGTAGGTGGAGCGGATTCTGTCCTTCACAAACTGTGGTCAAATAATGGCTTTTTTAAAGGCTCCAACCTCATCGGACACCCCTAATCCATAGTAGCAGAGGGCTCTAAGACCAACAACAGTACCTCCACCAACAATTAATCTTCCCATTCGATCAACTTTAAGTGCTGTCTCCATTCAAAAGCAGCTTCTTTAATTTCTTGTCCAGTTTTCCCCAATGTATTCCCATCCTAGCTCTGGAGGCATATCCCTGATAAGGCTGCAAGAGCCACTGCTTGGTCTTATGAGTAGAATTCCTCAAAGCCAGAGTCTGAGTGATGGCAGGGCTGAGGCACACCAACCTCACTGCCAACATGACTGCAGCAGTCAGGCCAAAGGCAAGTCCTTCCTCTTTGGCATCTGTTGCGTAGCCCCCTTCTGAGAGGAAGAATAGCAAACCTCCTCAGAAGAAATCTTGCCAAGAAAATCCTCCGATGCAGTCATCCTAGGATCACCATATACTCGGAAATAACTAAAACATATGCAGCAACAACAACAACAAAAATATTTCTGAGAAAATATGGGAGGGGCTTTAGCACATCTGGTAAATCATCAGCAATGATAAGCTATATCAACTAAAAGGATGCCAGTTAGAGGCCCCGGGTCGGTGTGAGCACCTGACAGTCAGCCCATCTTACTGCTTACATAAGCAGTTCTAAAACAGCTTGAGCTGTAAGCAGAGAAATTAGTTACCGCTAAAATAAGCAAGGGAGGTATTTTACGACACCATAAAGAAAAAGATCACAAAATGCCAAGTGACCAAAAGGAAGGAGGAAGTCCTGGTGGCTCTTCGACATAGAGGATGGAGCGACAGCACTCCCCTGTGGCTGGACTCAAGTACAACCTCCAAGGCACCAAAAACCTGGACGTCGACACAGCATACCTCCTTTCTGTTCTGTCTTCTGTCTCTGCTTGTCTATCCAAGAAATGGCACTGAATGTTTGCCATGTATGTGTACAGTGATCTGCCCTCAGTTCCCTTGGGGAGATAGGGTGGAATATAAATAAAGTGTTATTGTTGTTGTTGTTGTTGCTATATGTAGGGCAGTATATTTTAACAGATTTATATTTGTCTCATATTAAAAGCAAAGATTCTTGTATAAGTTTGAACATTTCTAACCTCATTGAGTCAATATAGAAGCAACCAGACAAAATTAACTATAATTGTTCTCCACTTCAAGTTAACTTATCTATCTATCTATCTATCTATCTATCTATCTATCTATCTATCTATCTATCTGCCTATTTAGGAACGAATTCTTCATGCTGCTCTGAGTGACAGCTGATTGGTGTCTCAATTAAGTTAAATATGTTTTTCCTTTCAGGAATTATTATGTATATATCCAAATGCTTCCTGTGCTGGAGACAGTCTGAAAATGAAGGACCAATTAAGAAGGTATAGTATAGGATTCCCCTCTCTCGCCGCCAGACAGTAGAACAACTTCTGCTGGCAGCACAGAGTAATCTCCAGAATAAAACAAAATTTTTGTGGTTTTGTGGCTATACTTACTATAACACATCCATTTTAATCTGATCTACATCATGACTAATGAAAGATCACACCAGACTATTAATAGGCAAGGTGGGATTTCTTTCCTACCCAGACACATATTTTACAATGTTAGCAGTTTTGAGACAATAGACTCTTTTTATGCAATTTCATTTGGGAGCATTAACACCACAGATTTGTTTTATAGAGAAGCCAGATTGTACACCTTCTGAAAAGAATACTAAAAAAAGAAAAATTCAGCACTATTTTTTCAAAACTGACAAAAGTAACAAGATCTCCAAGGACAACTGGATGTGCATGGTTCTAGTAGAATCACCATCTTTGTTCAACAGAAATCAGCTTAATCAATGTCCAATTAAACAACTGATTTTAGAGTCCTTCTATTTACCACTACTAAAGGAGCATAGCTACTAGGCAGAAGCCCTTTTCACTGATGGCATGTGGTTTGAGAGTGTCATTCTCAGAGAAACACATGCTACCTATTTTATTGCGGTATTTTTCACACTAGCTAAAGGCCTTTTAAAAAGTTCTCCAAGGCACTTTTAGGGACTTTTTTCATTGCTTCAGATTGGCGCAATGGGTTAAACCCTTGTGCTGGTAGGACTGAAGACCGACAGGTTGGAGGTTCGAATCTGGGGAGAGCATGGATGAGCTCCCTCTCTCAGCTCCAGCTCCCCATGCGGGGACATGAGCGAAGCCTCCCTCAAGGACAGTAAAACATCAAAAATATCCAGACGTCCCCTGGGCAATGTCCTTGCAGACGGCCAATTCTCTCACACCAGAAGTGACTTGCAGTTTTTCAAGTCACTCCTGACATGAAAAAAAAAAGAATATTACAAACGTTTATATTTTGCTGCTTCTCTTTCATCCCTTTTCTAATTATCCAGTTTGATCCTGCATTGTCCCTCATTATCATTTTACAGTTTGTATTGTATATTTTAATGCACTGGTTAGGGTTAAGCTACACTGTTGAATAAATCACACATTCAATGCTGCTTCCACTTCACTTATAAAATGATGAGTACATCTTCAAATGGCACTTCCTTGAATGAACATGACGCCCTTTTATCTTTGATGCAGTTCTTCAGTTTATTGTTTCCATCATATACTTCAGTTGCAATTGGTCATAGGACATCCCCATTCTTGGTTTACATTTCCTTTGTCTTCTTCTAATCTTGTGAAGAAATCTCTTCTTCTTCCTTTTCTGTTGTCAACTTCTCGTTCACTTCATTGATTGTTATAGTTCTCCTTGTCCCTGTGTACAAGCTGCTGAACAGTTGCATTCAGGGTCCTGTCTCGATTTCTATCACATTTTACATTTACTAATATCTCCCAACAATTTGAAGAGATGTGTCACCCTATGGGGCTTCTCTTTCCTTCTGGGTAGTAAAAACTGTGTTTTTGCATTCTTCCCTGGCAATGTTCTGGCTGCAGTTCAGCATTTTTCTGACTCCCAGTCTAGTAGGCTTAATATGGTTGTCTTAATAGTATCAACACATTAATGGAATATGATGATTCTCACGTCCAGAGTCCCTAAAGAATCGTACTTCAAAATACACTGGGCCAGTAAAAATCACTTATGATGACCCCTCATAATTTCACTTTTCCTGCTGTGTTCTGGATGAATGGAAGTTTGGAAACAACAGTGAAAGGCAACTCAAGATTCCTACAAATCCCAATCTAAACATTTCTAATAGGAAAGAAGCCATGCAAGAGTAAATGTCCCAAGAAGGTGATGACAAGCATCTTCCCAAAAAGAATAAGTAACACCATTTGAAATGCTTGCTTACTTTTTGTGAGCCAAAACGTTCTATACAATTTGGCCCTCTGTATCCACAGATTCTCTATTCATAGATTCAACTATCAACAGTTTGAAAATAGTAAAAACAAA